TTTCTAATTATTATCTAGTGTTCAAGTTTTTCATATGGAAATCTTGACGAGTTGGAAGTTAGCAAATATCTTTAAGAAGCTATCTTAAAAGATATGTACCGGACTACTCAGAAACTCAAAATCTAGCTAATACATATTTTAAAACTGTTTAACTTGGAATGATTAGTGAAACCTTCCATGGTTAGACGTTAAGTAAGGCCCAACGACTTGGTCGATGAGTGCTTTGTCTCCGTATTTCATAAACTGACAAATGATTCCTTAAAAGTAGAAGGGATATGGCCTTGGATAGATATATTCAAAAACAAAGTTATATATGCTTAACTATATTATAAATTATATAAACACACTGCCAAAATTCTTGTAACTTGTTTATATAACCACAAACACAAAAACACACGCACACGCACACGCATACATCTGATGAGAACACAATAAATGGCTAACATTAAAGAATTCATGTATAACGTTACATTATTGTATTTTTCTTGAATTTTTGAAAAAAAAAACCTATTTTGTTTGATATAATAATTGGCTCCTGGTCGGATAATCTTCAGACAGTGGTTGTAATTCATACGTAAGACAGTTTCGATATATAGTTTTGGTCGCATTGTTCAAATTCGACAAAATTTCAGTCAAATCTGAAAATTCCTCAATTATTTTTTCGAAGTACGTCATCAAAATATATGGGCTTTATAATGATAATGTAGAAAAATAGAAGTATATGCAACAGAAAGATTTCAAGAGATCCTTTTCAAAAAAAAGATCTAGAGAAATCTTTAATATAACTGTACTAATGATCAAATATATAAATAAACTATCCTTTGAATTAAAAAAAAAAAAAAAGAAGAAGGAGATGAAATGCCGAAATGGTGCAAGGTCGAAATAAGAAGCTTTGGGGCGTTAAATGAAAACATTTGAGAGTTAAGGGGCTGGAGGCTAATGATATAAAATAGAGTAGAGACTTGTGGATTAGGAGACAAGAAACCGAACGGCGCGATTCTCTTCTCCAATGCTCCCATTTCCTACTTACTCTTAATTAAAATCAAGCTTATGAAGTGTACTTAATGAGAATTGAAGATTATATTAATCTTATTTTCATTGAACTCAATATTTGAGAATTTTCAAAACCAATTACATAAAAATAGCTAGTGAGATGATTAGAAATGGTCTTGCCACATTAGTGAGAAATATCATAGATCAATGTAAGGTAGTTTTATGTACAATACAAGTCGGAGACTATCACAATCTCTATACACATCATTTAAAAAAAAAAAAATTGCCATGATCCATATTAATGTCTAGCATTTTTAAAAAATCGCAACTTAACAAATTTCAAAAAAATCAGAATTTGCTGTGTACTTCTTTTAGAAGTGAATTTACAAAATGGAATGACATCTTGAAATTTTATATTTGGTTTATTTGTTGATGATGAATCTCATACTAATTTTTAGAATCTCTTAATTATATGAAGTGGTTAAAAATAATAGTGTACCTCTTATTTCATTAAACGGCGACTAATGATACAATAACTACTGTTAGAGAAGGGATGGTGAGGTAAGTGGATGGACAATGAATAATAGCATTGTGATGAATGCATTACGAATGTTAGACCATGTAGATGCAATTAAAGGGGGTCGGTTATAGGCTCACTGTTAGAGAAGGGATGGTGAGGTAAGTGGATGGA